TGCAGGTTTACAAATTACACTATGCTGTAATCAGTACAAATCAGTCTAAACAGGTCCAAATGCAGAAATTACAAAGGCATATGGTAGCTAGGACATCAATCTACATTTCATCAGAAGACCTCAACCACCAAATCCAAAGCAATTCCAGTCAAAACAGCCAATTACAAACGCAATTCGGCCATCCTGAAGAACCCAGAACAGCAACAGTAAAATCGACATTTCTCACTCTAAACTACTCCAAATGACCTGAAATTTTACAGGCACTTCAAACATGTCAATACCTACAACTTTCATGTTTTAAACCAAGGCCAATTTGGCCTCTAACCATATGATACAAAACCGGACAGAAAAGGGGATATGAAACCCTAACTTTTCACATTTCCTTCCAAATCCAAAATTGGTTGCAATTATCTATCATATACACCTACTAGAGTCATTACCCTTCATTACCAACCATCATAGATAATCACAACATCATGATCACATTAAACCAGAAAATTCATCAATAAAATAAAAACTTCACCAATTCATCTCAAACCAAGAAATAAACCACAAATTTCAGCACTTTAGCTACCACTAAGCACATCTTAAGCTTCATTAAGTGTAGGAGGAAGTTCAATCACCACTTACATAGTAAACAAGAGATAAGGAGTTGTAGGACACCTTAGCTTCCTTGAACACTTTCACAAAATCACTTACTAGCACCAAATGGAGGGATTTTATGGAGTAGAAACAAATTTCAGCAATTGGTTTGGATGATTTGCACTAGATGGTAGCTAAAAGTTTGAAGAGTTTTCTTCCCTCTTAAGCTCAAGATGGCCGGCCAACATGGAGAAAGAAAGAGTGAATATTTGGTCAATTTTGAGATATTTAATCAAATGGTAAAGAAAGGTAAAAAAGGTGAATAGTTGTCTTAGGCTTCAACCAATGGAAGTGTGACACTTGTCACTCCATTAAATGCATTTCTATCCTTTTGTTTCCTCTCACATCAATCACATCGCATCCTCTACTTATCTCTTAACACCCGATAAATTTCACCCAGTATCCGGAACATAACCTAATTGGTCGAATTTTTCCGAACTTTTCGCCCTAGTGGGTCCCACATCCGGTATACACTCTTAATTTCTCAAAAACTAACCGATACTAGAAAAATCATTTAAAAACTATATTTACTCATAAAATTGATATAGAAAAATTTTCTAATAAAGAAAATGCAGAAAACGTGCAATTAAGAAAAGTACGGGTCCTCACAAATATAGTTTTTGAATCATTTTTCTAGTATAAGTTCGTTCATGAGATTTTAGGAATGTATATTGGACGTGGGACCCGCTAGTGCGTTAAGTGTGAATTATTCGGCTAAATAGGTTAAGTTTTGTATACCAGGATTAATTTATTAGGTGTTAAGAGGTAATTAGAGGTTACCTAGATGGATTAATATTGGAGAAACTTGGAGATAAGTTTAAAACCAAAAAGGTGCCATGTGTCACTTTATGATTCCACCTTGGACTTTGACCATCTTACCCCAACTTTACTAAATAACCAAAAATTTACCCAAAAATCATCATTTTCTTCAACCTCTTGGCCAAGACTTCTAAGGAGAGAAAAGAAGAGAAAACTCCAACTACTTCATCCATTTCTTGCACCAATCTTGTGATCCAACGGTAGAACTTCAACTTTACTCCATAATTATCCTTGGTCAAGTAGTATTATAGAAGGTGGTGGAGTTGTTTTGGAAGAAAGAAACCTAAGCTACTACCTTTCTTGAGGTATCAAGGTATGGTGTGTACAAATTCATAGTTTGTTCTTAATAATGGTTTATTAGTGGCTTTTGTGGCTAAATATGTTGATTTGTAGTAGGTTTGATGGTTGGAAGTGGAGTTTTGATGGATTTTTGATTTATTATTGATTTTTCTGTTTTTATATAGTAATTATTGTTTAGTCATTGATTGATGGTTTGTTATAGTGTAAAATGGAGTTAGTATATGTTGGATATGATTGGTTGCGGAAAATTTCTAGTTTGGTGCTGAAATTCCAGTTTAGGGTTTCAACTAATCCTGTTCTGCCCGGATCTGTTCGGCCTTAGATTAAAACATGAAAGTTGTAGGAAATGATGTTTTGTAGCTGCCTACAAAATTTCAGCCCAATCCTAGCACTGTACCATGTGAAAAGACAAAAATACCCCTGACTGCCATAGGTAGAGTTCGGTGGACAGTGTTGACATTTCACCAATCTGACCGCGTCTGTTCACCCTGATCCGTATTGAATTAGCATTTGACCAAGACATAGAAGTTGTAGTGTTATGTCTTAACTTTCCAACGGCCCTAAAAATGCCTCAATTGGACTTTGGTAGCCTGAGTTGTTGTCGTTTAAGCATCGTGCGGTTAACTAGTCTTATTGTGAGACTCTGGTTCTGTAATTTGAAATTTTGATCTGGTTAAACTATGAACTGGACTGAGTGGTCTTCATCAAAATTGTAGCCCTTTATCTTAGTTTTGAAACGGTATAAATTGTACACCAATTCGATAAGCATAGTTTCAGTTGTGTCCGATACGCTAAGCGACGTCAAACCTGTCTTTTGTTTTAGGGCTTAAATTTCATTTCTGGACTTTTTCCTAGCTTGATTTTGTACCTATACGACACTGAACCTATTGAACGGCTATTGAAATAAGATTATTTTATGAGTGACTTTGGGGTTGTCTAAACCTTTAGCACCAAGTGTTCCTTATTTTCAATTTCAAGTTCTTTTGGCTTTGCATTAGTAGTATGTGGATTAGGTTTATGACTCGTGTTCGAGTCTCATTGTGTTTTCTTGAATGTTTTAGGGCGTGCCGGTTACCCAAGGCGCTCGTTGGGCAAAAATTTGTGAAATCTCTTTGTTTGATTGGTGAGTGTACTACTCACATGATTGTTACTTCATGATTTTGTTATACTTGAAATCTATGATTGAAATGCTTGTGTTTACTGATGATATTGGTTGAGACGAGGGTGTACTTTATCACTCTCGTACTCTCTGGCTTATGTGACTATTTACTGTGTCAATTGAATTTCTCTTGAATGTACTTGAACTGGTGTCGTTGGATGTGTATCCAACGACCTTTACTGTTAACTCTGAGCTCAACCCCATTGGTGGTCAATTGAATCAAGCCAGCAAGGGCATGGTCGAGGAAATTGACAAGCCATGGGGACTGTTTTGTTGAATCATTGGGTATGAGACTCTTGATTCCGGTATACTCGAGTATTACCATTTCTGAACTGGTTGGAGTTCGGGCCCGGTAAGGGGTATGTGAGGTGGACGAAAATTGGAGAAAAGTGGAGTCTACGGTATTGGTTACTCTGTATCCATTGACGGAGCGTCAATGAGGTGAGATCAAGTATGGCAAAAGTGGAAAAGGCTCTTGAGAGCCGTCCGTATCCTTTTCTCTCATTTATTGTATGGTGTTAGTTGTGCTCACTTGATGAACGTGTTTGAATTGTGTATCCTTGTGATTATGTACTCCTTGAATGCCTGAGTGATGGTACCTCATTGGGCGAAAGCTCACTCCGTTAAATTTTGTTTTCCGTACAGGGAGCAATCCTTTTGGAGACTATGATGTTTTGAGGTACGAGTTGAGTTAGTTTTAATATATTCTTTTGTAAAGCTCATCGATGGTTGGAAAAATCCTAAATGTACTTTGATCCAAATATTTTCCTTTTGATTTGTAAATTACAAACGTATGTGTATAAAACCGTTTAACCATGTTCATGTATCATATGTGGTTTGGAAATGTTCATTCTCTAGAGTTATATAACGTTATCTGTATTCGATTGGGTTCTGGCTGGATGGTGACGTGGCAGTCACTATTCATTTGCGGTTCCAATTTTTTTCTTTTTTTCATTTTTCGTTTTGCGATTTTGAATCGTGTAAGCACGCTATTTTATTTCGAAACATTTTAGATTGTGTATAACTGTCTTAGTAGTCTTGGTGAGAGTTGGACAGGCAGTCCGCTAACCCCTTTGGTATGCCTTAGGGGAAGGTGGGGCTGTCACAGGTGGTATCAGAGCCTAGATTAGAAGTGACTTAGGCAAGTTTGATTTTTGCATCTTAGGACCTATGGGTACTGTGTTAAGACGCCGTTAAGTGTGATTATATTGTCTAAGGTATAAACCTTTGCTATCCTTGTAGGGCATGGCCGGAACCAGTGGAGCGCGTGGAAGTGAGCCACCTCAGAGGCGCCCACGAGTCATCGATTACCAGGAGAGGCCGGAAGGTCCGATCTGGCTTTGGTATACTGCTAGCCGGACCTGTCGCTGTAGGCGTTGCCAGTATTACTCTTATGTTGACCATGTGGTCATGGCGGTACTAGATGAGAGGAGGAGTCTTAGAAGTGCCGCCGCCAGGGATCACAATGAGACGCTTAGACTGAGGGGCATCATCAGGATGCAAGCTGATCGGATTGGAGAGCTTCAAGGAGACATAGCCATGGAGTAAGAGCGAACGAATGCTCTGAGGGAACAGTTGCTGGAGGTGAACACCCATCTTACTAATGTGGTCCAGGAGGTTAGAGACCGTTTCGGCGGCATTATTAATGAGTGCGAGGGGCTAATCCAAGGTGTGATTGGCTCCAATGCGCAAGTGGAGGCTCCTAGTGATGGAACTCCTGGAGAGGGGAGCACCCCTAGTTCTAGCCAAGGGGGAGAGTCAGTGGGCTCTGTAGGGAACTAGGCTAGAGCTCTTTTGAGCTAAGTTTTGATTCTGTGGGAGGAGTAGTTTAGGGGAATAACTTTTAGCTAGCCGTTTTGTATGTTTGGACTAGCTTTGTATATATATCTTTTGATGACTCCGTTATCTCATGGAATTTCTTTTGTCTGTATTTGGCTGACTATGACTGTGTAACTTGTTTGATATGGTTGTGTTATGTGTATATATATGTTTGATTTGTGAGTAGCTCTTGTTCCTTGTTTATGCTTCCATCTATCTTTAATGTTATCTTTATGTTTCGGCCCTATATTGGTTAGTTTGGATGGAGGGAACCCGTAGTGGATGGGGTCGTGGTCGCGGGATTAGGCAACCCACGACTGAAGGGGGTACTAGGGAAACCACATCTGAACCAAACCCTGAACCTAGGGTAGATCCGAATGTGCAAGTGGCCACAGCCATCCAACGAATGACCGACTTGTTAGCTCATGTAGTGGAGCAACAGGGTCAAAAAGCTAATCCCTACCCTGGAAACCTTGGTAACCCTAGTAACTATGTGGAAAGCGAGGATAGGGCCCTCGAAAGGTTTCAAAAAATTTTCTCACCGAAGTTTATTGCAGGGCCATATCCAGATGTGGCCGAGAGATGGCTAGAAAAGATGGTGGACATCTTTGTTGCCCTGCATTATACAGAGGAAAGGCAGGTGACTTTTGCTGTCTTCCAACTGGAAGGGGCAGCCCGTTCCTGGTGGAACGTAATACGATAGAAATGGGACAGAGAACAAACGCCCAGGACATGGGTGAATTTCATGAGGAAGTTCAACACTAAATTCTTCCCTCCTCTGGTTCAAGAACGGAAGGAAGACGAGTTTATTCGGTTTCGCCAGGGGACCCAGACTGTAGCCGAGTACGAGAGCCAATTCACTCGACTGTTCAAATTCGCGCCCGAACTCATCATGACCGAACAATGAAGAATAAAGCGCTTTGTTCAGGGCCTGAACGTGGAGATCCAGAAGGATCTCACTGTAGCCCAGATTAACGTCTTCAGTGAGGCAATGGAGAAGGCTCAAGTGGAAAATGCTAGGCTACAAGTGAGAAACTTCCAGGCGAAGAAGCGAGGATTTCCTGGAAGTAGTTCGGGACAGGGGGATAAAAGTACCCCTCCCAAGTTTGGACGGGGAACTGGAGGAGGAAGGATGTTGGGAATGTCAAGAGGGGCCCCGTCAAGAGGTGGCCAAGTTGGGAGAGGTCAAAGAGGAGGTCTCCAAGGAGGTTCGGCCTCAGCATCTCGCGGGCCCTGCGGGTATTGTGGAAAGCCAAACCACACGGAGGACAATTGCTGGAAGAAGGAGAGAAAATGTTTACGCTGCGGAAGTACAGACCACCAGTTTGCCAATTGTCCGGTTCTATCACGAGATAGAAGGGGGAGTCAGCAATCGATGAGGACCAATTCCGAACCGGCTCAGGTGGAAGGGACTAAACCTAAGGTATCGGCTCGAGTGTATTCACTGGAGCCACAACAGGTCCTCGATTCTTCTGAAGTTGTAGAAGGTACGATTCTTGTATTCCACCGATTTACGAAAGTTTTAGCAGATCCCGGTGCTACTCATTCATTTGTCAACCCCAATTTCATGTGCTAAATTGATATAAAGCCTGCTAGTTTATCTTATAACCTGGAAGTTAGTACTCCTCCGGGGGATCATCATTTGATCACTAGTATGGTTTATAAGGATTGTGAAGTTTGGGTAGGAGAGAGAAAATTGTTAGGGAATTTGATAAGCCTGTCCATTAAGGGGTATGATATAATCTTGGGTATGGACTGGTTAGCCAGGTATAATGCTCAACTTGATTGTAAAAGGAAGGTGGTAGAATTCCGCATTCTTGGGAAGGCGACCTTAAGATTAGATATAAGGGGTAGGTTAGCCTCATCTACCTTGATCTCGGGTATTCGGATTAGGAAATTACTAAGTAAAGAGGCGCAAGGGTTCATAGCATTTCTAATCAATACCCCCACCGATAAATTGAAGGTAGAGGATGTGCACGTAGTGAAGGAATATCCGGACGTATTTCCTGATGAATTAGTCATCCTACCTCCGGAGAGAGAGATAGAATTCAAAATTGAGTTGTTACCAGAGACGTCACCTATCTTTAAAATCCCATACCGGATGGCCCCTGCCGAACTTAGAGACTTAAAGTTGCAATTACAAGACCTTTTGGAGCGAGGGTTCATTCGAGAGAATGAGTCTCCGTGGGAAGCCCCTGTGTTGTTTGTGAAGAAAAAGGATGGGAGTTTGCGGATGTGTATAGACTACCGGGGGTTGAATAACGTAACGGTTAAAAATAAATATCCACTGCCCCATATTGATGAATTGTTCGACCAGTTGCAAGGGGCAGTGGTCTTTTCGAAATTAGACCTCCGACAGGGATATTATCAATTGCTAATTAGGAAGGAGGACATACCAAAAATTACCTTCAATTCTAGATACGGGCATTTTGAATTCGCAGTCATGCCCTTTGGACTGACCAATGCCCCTGCTGCCTTCATGGATTTGATGTATAAGGTTTTTAAACCGTATTTGGATCGATTTGTAGTTGTATTTATTGATGACATCCTGGTTTACTCAAAGACTCGTGAGGAGCATGAGCAGCACTTAAGAATCGTCTTGCAAACCCTAAGAGAGCATCAGTTGTACGCCAAGTTTAGTAAGTGTGAGTTTTGACTAGAGAAAATTTCTTTCTTAGGGCATGTAATTTCCCAAGAGGGCATCTCTGTTGACCCGGCGAAAGTAGAGGCCGTGACTGATTGGAAGAGGCCAGAAAATCCTACGGAAATTCGTAGTTTTCTAGGGTTGGCTGGGTACTATAGGCGTTTTATTAAGGATTTTTCCAAACTTGCTGGTCCTTTAACCGACCTGACGAAGAAAAATTGTTGTTTTATGTGAGATGCTAGGTGTGAAGCTAGCTTTTGAGAGCTAAAGAAAGATTAACTGTGGCACCGATTCTAGCTTTGCCTAACGGAATAGATAGTTTTACCGTTTATACCGACGCCTCGCTGGGAGGTCTGGGGTGTGTGTTGATGCAAAACAAGAATGTGATATCTTTTGCCTCTAGAAAATTGAAACCTCATGAGCAAAACTACCTAACCCACGACCTGGAGTTAGCCGCAGTTGTTTTCGCTCTGAAAAAGTGGAAACACTATCTATACGGGGTAACCTTCGAGGTTTACTCTGACCATAAGAGCTTTAGATACCTCTTCTCGCAAAAGGAATTGAATATGAGGCAGCGGCGATGGATGGAATTTCTGGAAGACTACGACTGCACCATCAACTATCATCCGGGAAAAGCTAACGTGGTGGCAGACACCTTAAGTCGAAAGGCTCAAGTGGTGCGGTTAATGATTAAGGAGTGGGATCTGTTAGAATCGATTTGTGAGTGGAAACCCTGTCTTGGAAGTCATAAGGCGATTTTTGGTAATGTTAAAGTAACGTCCACTCTACTGGAGCGGATTAAAGAGGCTCAGAAGGAAGATGCTATGGTACGGAAGTGGAGAGAGAAAGTGGAAAAAGGGGAATTGTCAGATTTCAACTTCAGTCTTGAGGGAGTTTTGAGGTACCGAAACCGAGTGGTGGTGCCCAAAGATGAAATGTTAAAGAAGGAGATCTTAGAGGAAGCTCATCGGTCCAAGTATACGATCCATCCGAGTAGTAGCAAGATGTATCAGGTCCTAAAAGGAGCCTATTGGTGGGACAACATGAAGAAGGAAATTGCTCAATACGTGCAAACGTGTCTCATCTGTCAACAAGTTAAGGCGGAACATAAAAAACCATATGGATTGTTACAACCTCTTGAGATACCCGAATGGAAGTGGGAAACATTACAATGGACTTCGTTTCAGTTTTGCCGCGAACACAATGAGAACATGACGCCGTTTGGGTAATCGTCGATTGGTTAACCAAATCGGCCCATTTCTTGCCGATAAACATGAAGTATTCCATGGAGAAATTAACCCAGGTGTATGTGGATGAGATAGTAAGACTACACGGAGTTCCAGTGAGCATAGTCTCCGACCGAGATCCTCGTTTTGTATCTAGGTTTGGCAGAATTTTCAAGAGACCTTGGGGACTAAACTCAACCTTAGTACCACTTATCGTCCCCAGACAGATGGACAGTCGGAGCGAACAATTCAAACTCTCGAGAATATGTTAAGGACTTGTATTCTGGATTTTGGGGGTAACTGGGGTGAATGTAATGACTAGTTCAGCGATTAGACAAGATTGAAATGCATTCCATGCATGCCGTTGAGTTATTTAGAAGGGAATATTCGGGTAGTTAGTTTGTTAGTCTGTTATTGCCAGTCAGCAAGCAGCCAAGACATCATTTGCATGCAGCTAGATATCATCTGAGCTGTATATAAGCATGAGGTTCCGGAAGAGAAAGGCACTTTTGGCATTGGAATAGAATCTCAGTCTCTTTCTTCCTCAAGTCTTTTCCTCCCTTCTCTGTTCTCTCTTTCCAGTTTCATTACAGTGGTATCAGAGCTTCCGATCCTTGGATTCGGGAGCTTGATTCACAGCCATGGCAGAAGGTACACGCCTTAAGACAATCGAGGAGCAGGTCCGGAGGCAGGAAGCTAAATTGCAGACATTCATGGAGTCTACCAGCGAGGCACTTAAATCCATGGAGGAGAAGATGCTGGCCAGCTCCACAGAGTTTAAGGCTCTAGTAGCTGGCATTTCGGCACAGATTGGAGGGATTACCAGGAATCCGCAACAAGACAGGGGACTCCTAGCCACCCTACAAGTTCCTTGCAAGGCACGTCCAGGCCCGGGCAGGTGCATCAGGAGAGAGGAGAACGCAATGCCTTCATCCCAGGGGTGCCCAAGCTAAAGTTTCCCAGATTTACTGGAGAGCAGGTAAGGGATTGGATTCAGAAATGCGAGACCTTCTTCCAATTGTATGGCATACTGGATTCGCAGAAGATGCTGATTGTAGGAATGCACTTGGAAGGAAGGGCAAATGTCTGGTTCCAAAGTTTCAAACAGGATAAAAGGACATTTGGATGGGAGGAGTTCAAGGAAGGAATGAGTCGCAGATTCGGAGACCTTGGGGATGAGGATGGAGTTGAGGAATTCAACAAACTACAGCAATCTTCCACAGTAATGGCTTATCAAGAGAAGTTTGAGGAATTGAGAGCCATAGTCCTGCTCAGGAATCAGGGGTTGAGTGAAAGTTATTTCGTCTCCAGCTATTTGAGCGGGTTACAGGAGGAGCTCAAGGCATTGGTCAAAATGCACAAACCTCAGACCCTACAAGAAGCTTTCGAGGTCGCAAGATGGCAGGAAAAGGCACTGGAGGTAATTTTCAAGAAGAGCAGGGCATCTAACAGGCATCCTTCACAGCTGAGTTCCAGTGGAGGAATGTCTCCACACAGACCACCTGTGACCAAGCCAGCAACAGTCAGCGAAGGAGATTCCACGAAGTAAGGTGCTGTTTCTCAACCATACAAGAGAATCACTCCCACCGAGTTCCAATACAGGAAGGAAAACCATTTGTGCTTTAAATGTGGAGCAAAGTTTGGACCATGTCATATGTGTAAGGACCAGGGGATACACATGATTGTTGCTACTAATTTAGAGGACAGGGTAGATGAGGAGGAGGTGATAGAATACATGGGTAGTGGGACCAAACAGGAGGTCGAACTATCCTTGCATTCACTCACAGGGAATCTGCTCTCTAGCACCATTAGGTTGCTAGGGGAGGTCAGAGACTCTGAAATTTCTATTCTATTGGACGGGGGCAGTTCGAATTGTTTCCTTAAGAAGACAGTTGCACGAAGGTGGCAGGAGCTTATCCAGCAACACAAACCTTTCAGAGTCAAAATTGCTGATGGTCAGTTACTTCCTTGCAGTCAGTGGATACCCAATTTCCAATGGAGTATGCAGGGACAAAAATTTTGCCACAGTGTGTACCTGTTAGATTTGGAGCCCTATGATCTGATCATAAGAGTGGACTGGATGAAAGCCTACAGCCCACTAACATTTGATTTTAAGCAACTGCAGGTCTCCTTCAATAAGGATGGTGACATGGTGACATTGCGGGGGAACGGAGGTACTGCAAACACTAGGATGACTCAGGGAGAGGTGGCCAAAAGATACATGAGGAAGAAACTCAAGCAAGTTGTGCAGGCTTACACGGTCAGTACAGCTCAGTCACAGGTAAACACCACTTCAAATATTCTAGAACCTATGTTGATTGAGTTCCAGGATATGTTTAGTGAGCCTAAACAATTACCCGCTAAAAGATCATTTGACCATCAAATTCCCTTGAAAGCTGATGCAAAACCTTTCAAATTAGCTCCTTATAGATATCCCCATGTCCAGAAAACTGAGATAGAAAAACAAGTCAAGGAGATGCTGCACGGTGGCATCATCCAACCTAGTCACAGCCCCTTTGCTTCACCTGTCCTATTGGTCAAAAAGAAAGATGGAAGCTGGAGATTTTGTATAGACCACAGGCAACTTAACTCCTTAACCATTAAAGATAAATTCCCAATCCCCATTATAGATGATATTTTAGATGAACTTCATGGAGCTAAAGTATTCTCCAAAATTGATCTGCGATCTGGCTACCACCAGATTTGCATGAACCTCTCAGACATTCCAAAGACAGCTTTCAAAACTCACTGTGGGCTCTACGAATTTTTAGTTATGCCATTTGGCCTTACCAATGCTCCAGCTACATTCCAGGCCCTCATGAATTCAGTGTTTGAACCTTTCCTCAGACAATTTGTCTTGGTATTCTTTGACGACATTCTTGTATATAGTCCAGACATGGACTCTCATACCCGCCACCTTAGACAAGTCTTAGAGACCTTAAGATCTCATACCCTTTTTGCTAAGCTCACTAAGTGCTCTTTTGGACAAAATCAAATAGAATATTTGGGGCATGTGGTTACTGGTGAGGGGGTGAGTGCTGACCCTTCCAAGGTAGAGTGCATGGTGAACTGGCCAGAACCTACTAATATCAAGGCCTTAAGGGGGTTCTTGGGCTTGACTGGATATTACAGGAGGTTTGTCTAGAATTATGGCTCCATAGCCAAACCCCTCACTGATCTTTTAAAGAAGGATGGTTTTGTCTGAAACAAGGAAGCCAGTGCTGCGTTTCTTGAACTCAAACAGGCTATGAGTAACACACCTGTTCTAGCATTGCCAGACTTCTCCAAGCCTTTTGTGTTGGAGACAGATGCCAGCAATCAAGCTATTGGAGCTGTCATTATGCAGCAAGGACAGCCCATTGCTTATATGAGTCAGGCTTTAGGTGCAAGAAATCAGGCTTTATCCATCTATGAAAAGGAGTTACTAGCCTTAATTGCTGCTGTTAACAGGTGGAGGCATTACTTACTGGGGTCTCACTTCATCATTAGGACTGATCATCATAGCCTAAAATACTTGCTGGAGCAGAAGATCTGGACTCCATTGCAGCAGAAATGGTTAACTAAACTGATGGGGTATGATTATGAGATTCAGTTCAACAAAGGAAAGGAGAATATAGTGGCAGATGCACTTTCCAGGAGAGGGAAGGACTCTCACGAGCTCAGTGCCATATCCATGGTAAAGCCTGCATGGATCACAGACTTAGCTGGAAGTTATGAGCAGGATCCTAAAGCTAAGGAGTTGCTCACTGCATTAGCCATCAATGGCACAGAAATGCTTGAATATTCCTACAATGGAGAGGTCATCAGGTATAAGGGAAGGATATATGTAGGGGCTTCTACCTCACTCAGGCAACAACTCATTGCCTGCATGCACACGTCAGCAGTTGGAGGACACTCAGGAAATCTGGGTACCTACAAGAGAGCTAAAGCATATTTCTTTTGGCCTGGCATGAAAAGAGAGATAGAGGACTTTGTACAGAGCTGTGACATATGTAAGAGGAATAAGGGAGAAAATTGTAAGCCTCCTGGGCTGTTACAGCCCCTACCCGTACCAGAGCAAACGTGGCAGCACATATCTATGGACTTCATTGAAGGGCTTCCTAAATCTGAGGGGTGTGATACACTGCTTGTAGTGGTTGACAGATTCACAAAGTTTGCACATTTCATCCCTTTAACTAGCCACTATACTGCTAAGAGTGTATCACAAGTGTTCTTTGATCAGATATTCAGACTGCATGGCTTACCCTCTAGCATTGTGTCAGATAGGGACAGGACATTTACTAGCATCTTTTGGCAGGAGCTATTCTCACGGCTAGGGACTCAGTTAAATTTCTCTACTGCCTATCACCCCCAATCTGATGGGCAGACAGAGAGAGTGAACAGGTGTGTGGAGACATACTTAAGGTGCATGTGCTCTGAACAACCTGGCAAATGGAAAAGATTTCTAGCAGCAGCAGAGTGGTGGTACAACACCAACTTCCACACTGCATTAAAGATGTCTCCATTTCAAGCTCTGTATGGCTACACTCCTACACAACTCAACATCATCCCAGGAGCATCGATGGTAGCAACAGTGGATGACTGGATGGCAGAAAGGGTAAACTGGAATTTGATGCTCAGGGATAATTTGCTGAAGGCACAGAATCGGATGAAACAGAATGCTGATAAGCTCAGGTCTGATAGAAGCTTTGAGGTGGGAGATTTAGTCTATCTCAAGTTACAACCATATAGGCAGACTACTGTGGCCCTGAGGAGGAACCTGAAGCTGTCTGCCAAGTACTAAGGACCCTTCAGGGTGTTGCAGAAGATAGGACCCGTGGCCTACAAACTAGAGCTGCCAACAGGTTCAGCCATCCATCCTGTGTTCCATGTCTCTCAGCTGAAGCCCTCTACTAAGGGGGAACCAGTCCAGTATTCTCTACCCACATTGGATGAACAAGGAGAGGTACGAGTAGCACCCCAAGCCGTGCTGGAGAGGAGGACCAAAAGGAGGGGAGGTCAGGCGACAGAGCAGGTGTTGATCTTGTGGGAAAACCTGAATCAGGATGATGCTACTTGGGAAGATGCAGCGGTCATCAGGTCTCAGTTTCCAGATTTTTCCCTTCAATCTTAGAGACTAGGATTTGGTTAAGGGGGGAGTAATGTAATGACTAGTTCAGCCATTAGACAAGATTGAAATGCATTCCATGCATGCCGTTGAGTTAGTTAGAAGGGAATATTCGGGTAGTTAGTTTGTTAGTCTGTTATTGCCAGTCAGCAAGCAGCCAAGACATCATTTGCATGCAGCTAGATATCATCTGAGCTGTATATAAGCATGAGGTTCCGGAAGAGAAAGGCACTTTTGGCATTTGAATAGAATCTCAGTCTTTTTCTTCCTCAAGTCTTTTCCCCCCTTCTCTGTTCTCTCTTTCCAGTTTCATTACAGTGAACATATGACATTAGTAGAGTTTGCTTACAATAACAGTTACCATTCCGTCAATTCAAATGGCACCATACGAAATACTTTACGGAAGGAAGTGCCGATCACCGCTCTATTGGGATAAAGTAGGCGAAAGGAAGGTTCTAGATCCAACAACTATTCCATGGATGGAGGATGCACGAGAAAAAGTCAAGTTGATACGACAAAGACTCCAAACAGCTCAAAGCCGACAAAAGAGCTACGCGGACAATCGAAGAAAAGATTTGGAGTTCGAAGTTGGGGACCATATTTTTCTTAAGATCACACTGTGACAAAGCGTCACGGCGGGTAAAGGAAAAAAAATTCAACCAAGGTTCGTCGGACCTTTCCAAATTCTCCCATGGGAAAGTAGCGTATCGACTTGAACTACCATCAAGTCTGTCCAGGATTCACGGCGTCTTCCATGTCTCGATGCTTAAGAAGTATTATCCCGACCCGACCTACATTTTGCAACCGGAGGAGATTGAGATAGATGAGTCACTCACCTATGAGGAGAAACCTGTGCAGTTGCTTAACCGAAAGGTTAAGGAGCTTAGAAACAAGCAAATTCCTTTGATGAAGATTTTGTGGAAAAATCACGGGGCAGAAGAGGCTACCTGGGAGGTGGAAGAAGAGATGCAAAGGAAATACCCTGAGCTATTTATGGACCAAGGTGAGAAATTTCGAGAACGAAATTCTTTTAAGAGGGAGAGAGTGTGAGAACACAAAAATTTTCTTATTTTCTAGGCTTTATTTTATTTATTTGCACGCATTTTCTATATTTTCTTTGTTAGAAAAATTTTTTAGATAATTTTTATGAGTGAATATAGTTTTTAAATCACTTTTCTAGTATAAGTTCGTTCATGAGATTTTAGGAATGTATATTGGACGTGGGACCCGCTAGTGCGTTAAGTGTGAATTAGTCGGCTAATTAGGTTAAGTTTTGTATACCATGATTAATTTACTAAGTGTTAAGAGGTAATTAGAGGTTATCTAGATGGATTAATATTAGAGAGACTTGGAGATAAGTTTAAAACCAAAAAGGTGCCATGTGTCACTTTATGATTTCACCTTGGACATTGACCATCTTACCCCAACTTTACTAAATAACC